GTCGGTCCTCGGCACGTGTGATGCTGTCCGAGGTGATGTCTTCGGCATCGAGAAGGCAGGCATGATATATTTTCATTAAAGTCTGAACCATATATCCATCCACACGCCATCCTGGGTCCCGTTTGCGGACCTAGATATCTCACTCTAACCCCCTCTAGACCCCGTACCCAAATATCCATGTCCGCCCCTCTTGGGCCCGTCAGACATGCATCCTATGTACCATTTAAACAAAACGATTACCGGGTAGTGTGATTCCAAGACGCCGTTGACATGCAGGTCATCTCAACCAAAACATAAGAAGAAATGTAAAGAAGCGAAACCAACCCCCCGACTCACGGCCGAGGCAGTGGCGAGACATCCCCGGAGTGTCGAAGCTCCTCCGACAACTCGGTCCGCTCCTCCTTGTCGCCCTCGTCCTCGCCGTCCGTGCTCTCGTGGTTGACAAACACAAACGAGACAAACACGATACCCGCACCCACCCAGTACACCCAGCTCGAGAACTGGGCGTACTGAATCATCTCGCCAATGAGCGAGAGCGGGATCGTCAGCGAGATGCCCACCGTCACCACCAAGGGCGTCGTCAGTAGCATGGCGTACGCCCACGACATGTCGCTAAGGAACGACGCGACCGAGTTGACGATGATGATGGTCCAGATCGTGCCTGTCGGTGGCCATTCGAACTAGAAGACCATCGTTAGCATCTCCCACAATGTGTCCTCAGGAAAAGGATACCCACCGTCTCGATCCCCGTAAAATGCAGGATAAAGAACCCCGGCCACAAAAACACCAAGTTCAGCAGCCCCACGAGCCCAAAGAACAGCGGCATATTCACCCTGTCCTCATTCCCGACCCGGCGCTTCATGACGGTAACATAGATCCCGTAGATTATGGCACTGACGAACGCCATCGCATCCCCGATCGCAATCTGCCCCGTCGTCTTGTGCGGAAAGTTGCCGCGATTGCCGTCGTTGCTCTGCCCCGCCAGGTCCACCGACGAGATCAGCACCACGCCCGCCATCGACGCCACCACACCGCCCAGCTTCCGCACCGTAAACGGCTCGACCCCCGTCATCGCGCACGCAATCAGCGTCCAGATGCTGCTCGTCGACGTGAGGATCGTCGCGCTCGCCACGCTCGTGTACTCGAGGCACGCCGACGCAAAGTAGTTGGCTAGGAACCAGAGCATGCAGAACTCGAGGCTCAGCCACGCCGTCTCGCGCACGCTGAGCTTCTCCTCCTCCTTCTTCTTCCCGCCATCGTCCTCCCCCGCCAGCAACAGCGCCCCTGTCTCGTCCTCCCCCTCGGCGACCTCCTCGTCCCGCGACTTGATCGCCCCGCCCTCGCGCCACACCTCCAGCGCCGTGGTATACGCCGCCCCCGCCCCGTTCTGCAGGACGTATCGTACCCCCATCGGTACCAGCGAGACTGCAAAGAGGGAAGTGTTGGCGTACACCAGAAAGAACGGCTTGCTGTATGTGTTGTCTGAAAAGATATACTACCCCCGCCACCATCGTCAGCACTACAAAAAACTCAAGAGGGCGAAGGGAGGGAAACTCACACTCGCCAAGAAATTCGACAGCGTCCACATAAACACCGTAAACAGCAATAACAAGATCCCCAGCGTCCTACGCGCTACACCCAGTAGTCCCAGGCGCGCGCGCAGGCTGCTGGGCCCCTTTGTGCTTGTTGTGGATCGTGGGCGGAAATGCGATGTACTGCTGTTTCTCGATGGCAGCGGGGCCGTGTCGTCCTCGTCGACCGCGGCGACGGGGGCGTACGTGGGACGGCCAAAGTCGGCGTCGTCGGGGATGAATTCCCCCATGAGGGGGCCCGGGGCGGCCATGGCTGGTGTGTGTTGGTGGTGGGATTCGGGTTCGGCTTCGTTGGAGGACGAAGGGATTGGTGCGGTGCGCGATCACGGCCAGCCGGGGGGCATCGTAGACGCCTTGAAGCGATCGTCGGGGTAGCAAAGGGTGATTCGTGTGCTGTGTTCGGATGCTGAGTGACGCAGCGTCAACGAAGGGGCAGGTCGCTGGTTGCGCCGTCAGACGGGGCGCGAGAGGGCGTCGTTGCCGCGGTGGTTGCAATGGCTAAATGACAGCGAGGTCGGTCTCTTGGTATGTACAATCGGACATGGATCCATGCGGGGAAAGAAGTTCCAGTGGGGGGGCAGATCGAGAACTTGAGGAGGGTGGAGTTGGGATCTGCTGCCCTGGTGCTGGCGAGTCGTGGGGAGAAGAAGGGTTTGGTGGAGGGCTACGCGTGGGTCAGACAGTCCGCGCCGAGTCTGATGAATTCCTCGAGCCAGGGTGGTGGATCACAGGTTTCACGGACGGAAAGGGGACGGGCTCGGCACTTTTGACCCAGGGTTAGGGTCAAGTCGGCTTGTGCCGAGTTCCGATGACGTGAATCTGCAAGGTACGAGACGATAAACAAGTCAGATGAACAACTTAACAACTAGGCCTAAGGATCAGATACGTGGCTCTCGACATGTAAAGCTGTCCGCTACTCAGCGTTTGAGAAAAATATGCTGTATGCCATTTATACAAATGCAGCGTCTCCCCTCCGTAGGCGAAGGTATCACATCACCTCCAAGCTACCGACTTTCCCAACTATGAAGATTACAGCCACGGCGACCCATCGTCAGACTAGACAAGGAAAAGACGGTAAACGCAAGGGATTCGAACCCTGCGTGATATCATACATAGTAGAGACTCCATTCCTTCCCCCGCCATAAGCACAAACTAGGAGCGATCTTGTAGCTCCCCTCTCAGCACGCGCAGCCGTCACGATCGTTCTCGATGTGGATGTTGATGGGATCCTGAAAGTCGCCGCTAAACTCCTCCGACTCTTCCTGCAGCAGCGCATTTCTCGCAATCACTAGCCCAAAGTTAGCAAGGACCAAAAAGAGAAGTCTCAACATCCACCTACCCTCAAACGCCTGCTCCACGTTGATCGCCTCCTTCGCGCTCGTCTCAAAATACGGGATACCCCCCTTGGACTGGCAAAAAGTCATGGCCCGCTTGGTCGAAATCTGCATGTCCCTCGTCAGTCAGCATCCCACCAAAGTCACCCCCCTCCCCTAAAAGACGCACCGCTCGCTTGCTCTCCTCCACATCAATCTTGTTGCCCAGCACCACAAACGGAAAGTTATCCGGGTCCCTCGGCGAGGCCTGGATCAAAAACTCGTCCCGCCAGCTGTCGAGCGCATCGAAGCTCTTGGGGTTATTGACGTCGTAGACGAGCACGCAGCAGTCGGCGCCGCGATAAAACGCCACGCCGAGCGACTGGAAGCGTTCTTGGCCGGCTGTGTCCCAGAGCTATCCCCCAAGAAGAAGTATTAGCACTCTGCCTGGTGGTGGGCCTAGAACAGCAGGCTTCCGTACCTGCATCGTCACCTGACGGTCATCCACCTGCACCTCGCGCGTGAGGAAGTCGGCGCCGATCGTGGCCTTGTAGCTGGCGCTGAATCGCTTGTTGACCTAGATTTCACGGGAACCAAAAAGTCAGCCCCTCATTCCCTCGGTCGGGTTGCGTGGGTAGTGCCTACATATTGGTTCATCAAACTCGTCTTGCCGACACCGCTGTCGCCGAGGATGATAACCTGCGTACGAACCCCACCGTCAGCCAGGCCCAGCCACCAAGTCTCCAGCCGTCCATCAGGTAGCGCGAACCTTGAGAAGAACCTTTTTCCTCGAGGCCATCGTAAAATCGGTGCCTCGGGGGGCGTGTCGAAGAGATGAATGAGCGGGGAAAGGCGGCACGCAGTCGGTGGCGCTTAGTCGTCGACGGTCGTCTCAGCGACGTTTAGCTCGGTCGGCGCGCGGTGATGGTCGTCGTAGGTCGTCGGGGATCTCGAGGAGTCGCAAAAGATGAGACGGGTCAAGGCGGCGTCGTAGGTTGTGTTGATAAGGAGAGGCAGATTGGATGGGTGGAACTGGGCTGGGAAGCTGTTGTTGGGACTCCGCTGTTGAGGAGTGACGAAAGTGACGGTGCATGGGCCTGGCCAGCGAGGCACGAGGCACTGACGCCCACTGGCCCGTTGATTCGACACCCCCTAGCTCGCCCCGAGACGGTTGCCTGCTGGGCCAATCACCTGGGGCGCAGTCTGAGCTTGGGCTCCATGATAACGAATGCGTTATCGCGCCTCGTCTGTCCGTTTGGGGGTTGGCGCATTGCACACGGAACTGTCCCGGAACCGCTGACGACGTCACGCGGGACAACTTTGCACAATCCGCTGTGCAAATTGTGGCAGTTGAGAAAATCATGCCAGGTTGAGGGTTTTGTTTACTTCGCCCCTGAGATTGGGACCGTTCAACAGGAGGGTTTCAATGGGGCAAAGTCCCCCGTTCATATCTCTCTCTTCTCGACAAAACCAGGCCAAGCTCACTTGGACTGATCATCGCTGATCAATTCACCACCGCCCTTCGCTTCTGCCCCCAGCATATCAACATGACCCCCGAGAGGACATTCTGTTCGAGCCTGCGTTTGGCAGATGCCTCATATCATACATTTCTAGGAACAGGCAGGCTCAGTCCATCGCAAAGAAATGGACGCAAAACTACCATATCATCAGGTCGAAACTGTTCGGTTGCCCTACCTCGTCGACCCGTGGGCAGTGCATTTTGTAATACCAGCGGCCTTGGGTTGTGAGATCCGCAGACTCGACCAGTCTGTGTTTGGTGCCTACAAAAGATCCCTTTGAGCCAATTCCATCTCGACTTGGTGCTCCTGTCCCCTCTCCGCTCCGTACCTATCTTGGTGTGTACCATCACTATAACCAGTTCCTGTCTATTGGTCCAATCTAAAGATGCAAGACAATCAAGCCGGCCAGGTTAGTTCCGCAACTCGAAGCAAAGTAACGCGAGGAGTCCAGCACATAGACATCGCAGTGCGCCCCATCCCCTTTCATCCTTGCACTATGCAAGACCACCAAAAAAAGAGCCCAGACTCAACGGACCACAAAAAAGTCCATCGAGCCCAGGCTCATGTATATGTTTGGGGGGAGCTGGGAGTCGAACCCAGGACCTTTTCGCTTACTTCGTCAAGCCACCGCTGGGTAAGATATGTAGACGCTCTTGGAAAACAAAAAGCACACGGCAATCAGAAGAAACTCGCTACTGCTCTGCCACTGAGCTACTCCCCCCGGAGTGGTGATCCTCAGTCTTGGTGGTGTGGACTGGGGATGGAGAAGGAAAGGAGGAAGGGTACGAGGGAAGAGGGACGATAAGGAAGATATAGGCCTGGGAGCTGGTAAATGCGAGACATCATCACGTGGAAGAGGGAAAGGTGTCCTCTCTGTTGGTGTTGTTACCATTGTTTGTTGTTTTTGTTTATCTTGGAGATCTAGACCCTATCCGAGGTTAGGGTTGCAGCATCGCATAAAGTGGGGTTGCCACCAAAAGTTACAGCAGAGGAGCGTTCAAGACCACCAACTAAAATTTTCCAGACTGAAGGAAGAGGCCGATCCGACCTCGCACAGAGACCCGCACGCGCGGTAAAAGAGATAGATAGAAGGACCGCATTTCTACATAGAAGCCATAGGCAGCACGGTATGAGATATATAAAAAAATATCCTGCTCACCTATGCTGGCCCAGCATACGAAACGAGCACCCCTTAGCTTGATCTATAGTACATTTGCTAGGGCCTAGCCCCTGGCTCTGCCGTAGCTGCTTGCACATCTGCCCACACTCCAGCCAAAACAAACCAGCCCCCCTATATCGTACAACACCTACCGCCGCAAGCCCAATGACTGAAAGAACAGCACCAACGCAGCCTCTTTACGCTGTCGCTCTTCTTCCTCTGCCGCCTCCTTGATTGCCTGAGACATGGCCTGGAGGTAGAGCCGCCCAACGGCCTCGCGCTTGGCTTGTTCCTGCTGCGCCAGCCTCTGGCGGACGAGAGCCTCCAGCCGCGCCTTCTCCTGGGCCGTCTCGGCTGCGCGCTGGATCCGCATCAGAGCGGCTAGAAACTCTTCTACAGATGTGTCGTCGTCGGCCGTGCCGTCGTCTTCCTCGTCTTCCTCCTCAACGGCGGTGCGCGGCGGCGAGGGCGGCGGCGCGCGGATATAGGGTTCGTTGTAGTCGAGAACGTTGTACATCCTTCATTTTGATCGTTAGTTTTCGAGTTGCAAAGAAAGGGAGACGGAAATGGAGGAAGGGGAGACGCACCGAACTTGCAAGACGTCGATGGATACTACAGGATCGGTCGATTGCTGGTAGGACGGGACATCAGACCACTGCACGATGAGCCCTATTCCCACTACCGAGTCTTCGGAGCCCTCGACGTGCAGCAGGGAGTCCGGCCGGAGGTTGTAATCGGTGGCCCCGACGTTCATCGACACCACCGATCCGCGAAACCCTTGTCGGAATAGCCTGTTTGGCAGGCAGCCGGGCGTAACGGTTGCATCGGAGAATGAGTCCTCGGGGAACCTCGTCCCCGCAAACTGCTGGTTGTTGGTGACGACGCCCAAGGTAACCCGTAGCTTGCCGGCACCGCCGACTCGCCGGAGCAGATGCTGGCGCGCAGCAGCATTCTTGTCCAAATCTGGGTCGAAATGCACGTCAACGTCGATACTGATGCCGTAGTGGCCCGGGCGGGCGTATGCACGGAAGCGGGCGTGCGAGTCGTTGTCAAAGAGATGCAGCCTGCGCTGGGTGATGGTCAAGTTGGAGGGATTGGCAGGTGTGTTTGGCATGAGCTGAACGAGCGACCAGTTCTTCCTGCCCTTGGCAACGTTGATGGGCGGATTGACCGCCTCTCGCGCCGGAACCAGGTCGTCAGGCATCAACAGCAGCGTGTTGAGCACATGGCTCACTTTGTGGTCGCTGCTGTGGTTTTTGGACACCTTGCCGCTCTGAAAGCAGCTGGCGCAGAGATCATAGTCATAGCACACGGTACATTGTACCCGGTGTGCGGCCGAGCCAATATCGCGCCCGCAGCCGTCACAAACGGCGACCATATCGCCCGGATCAACCGCCTGTCCCGAGAATGATGAGCTCCCCGCCGTGCTCACCGAGGAAGAAGAGGTATCTGATCGGAGATCCAGGCGGGATTGCGTCTGGTTCAAGGATGGGTATGACCTGGACGCGGTCGGACTAGACACCGTCGGTTGTTCGCGCCAGGCCGTCCACTGTTGGGCAGGACTCGGTGAGCCGGAAGGTGGCTGCGTTCGGGGTGAGCTGTCTCTGGTTGGGCCAGAGCTCTGCTGGCTATAGTCATGCGATAATCCCTGGTGCTGAGGTGGCGGGGAGGGATCTACCACCGATGGTTCGGGGCTGTAGGTCCAACCCCCACCCACAGTTCGGCTTGTGTTGGCGATGCCTAGAACATGCTGCTCAGCCCTGCCGTCACCGACATGTCTTGAGGTTCTGCTAAGCACCTACCTAAAGTCGAGGGGGTGCTCGCCGTGGTCATGAGAACGAGTTCCACGATGCTGGACGCGACGGGTATCCAGTTTTGGTCGTACGCATCCCGGAACTTGCCCATCTCTCGGTGTGCCACACGCAGAGGGTGTCGAGTCACTTCATTGGTCAAGTTCAGGACCGCTGATGTACGGTCAACAATCTAAGGTTGGGAAATGATGATTAGCAAGAGGTGCGCGGGAACAAGGTGCGCAGAGACACCGTGTACGTACCAGATGAGCGCCCCCCGTCTCATAGAAAGTATGGATTGATATCCCCGTGCAGATATTGGAGAACTTGCTCGAGATCTCGAACAGGGCGGGACTGCCCTTCTTCAAGTCCCGGATCATGTCCCGGTTGAGGAAGCTTATACCGGGTGTGACGGCATTGGCAACACCGGCTATGATGTTGCCAAAGTTGGCGGCATTAGAGCCTTGATGCGGCGTGGCTAGGAAGACAATTCCCGCCGTGCTTGTGCGAATACCCAGATACCGGGGGTTCAGCTGAGCTTCAATCATTGCCTGCCGAAGATGGTCAGCTGTTGTCTAGAGCGAGCCACCGCGTCGTCGGCGTCCAAGGACTTGCGTGTTTGACCACTATGCCGCCAAGAGAGTGGCAGACCCAGATGATCTTGCGATTCTACCACCAACGAGTCAGCATGCTGAAGATGTACGGAACCTGGAGGGGCGTGGAACCTCGTATCCCTTCCTGACGCCCTTGATCCGGTTTAGGAGATCGAGAGCCAGTTCGTAGACGCCCGCCGCCTGGAAGGTAACATAGGCAGGGTATCCAAATGTCCATATGCGAGCCGAGTCGGCGCTGGTCTGGTTTCGGATGTATTCAGGAAGGAGATGCTGGAACCAGATGGTTCCCGAATCTGGATGCCGCCATGAACTGGTGGCTCCGCCCCGCAGGCCGTGTACAACGAAGATACTTTGACGATGCTATCGTTAGATGGCCCAGGAAAGTTTCAGATCAACACTTACTCGCAAGTACACTGCCTCTCCCTTTCAGTATCCTGGGGGTGCACAAGATAAAGACCTGGCTCATCTTGGCCGGTGAACCGGGAAGCTGGGGCAGCCTGGTAGCCCGGCAGATCAGCACGCTGGTCCGGAACACGGCGAGAGGGAATTGTCCAATGCATACCATATTTGTTCAAGACCCTGCTAGTAGGGCTGGTGACTGACCCGTGGTTCGTCAGTCACAGTTCGACGGAACTGGGAGACAATCATCCAGATTTCGGGTGCAATAGCGAGCCTCGACAAGGAAATTCGGAAAGGACGGAAGAGGAAGAGGAATGGGAGATGGAGAAGGACGGTCAGGGGTAATTGTCGCGCAACGGGGGAGTCCGGGGGAATAGGGAAACTGAACCTAACTGGACTTCACTCGCAAGGCTCTGGCCACCGCAGAGCTGGCGTCTCGCCGTCATGCGCCTGTTCGGAGGCTTGACGCCTCGCTGCACCTGAGCCACTCGAGGCCCCAATCAGAATAAAACGCTTCCCAATGTGAAGATTTACAGAGCTATTAGGCTCTGAGGTTTTGAGTGCCAAGAAAAGAATCGCGCGTCTTATGGGGTGACCGCCACGAATGCGGCCGCAGGGGGGAAAGGGGGATCCGTGAGGGACCGGCGCGACGACCTTGCCGCCCATCAGTCCCCTCCCTCTTCTTTTGTCTGCCCGCTCTCTCTCGAGTCTCCAGCATGACAATTCCTGTTCATCGGGGCGGAAAGTAGCCTCCAACATGGCCCCGGGCACCCCCTCCTGGCTCAGGAGAAAATTCAGTTCGGTTTTCCGGAAAGAAGGGACCACTGTGCTCACGACAACCTCCTCCCAGCCCTCCAATCTTCAATTGGCGGCCCAGAGAGACTCATTTGAATCGTTCCCAGAGTTCTGGGAGCCGTCACCGGCCCACCCCTTTTGGGAGCCGGTCCGGCCCGCGTCGTCGGCGCCCTCAGCTGCTCGTCCCCATTGTAAGAGACCGTCGTGCCTTGATCAAGCTCAGCCTCCATTTCCTGACAGATCTACCGTAGACAGCCAGGTCCCCGACGCTCCTTTGATCCCCACCGGCCAGCCGCGCCCGAATATCCCCAGACCTCTCATCCGCGTTTTCGGAAGCCAGCGGCCGAGACCGGGGCTGGGGGGTCCGCTACTACCCGTTCACGAAGCCGAGTCCCATGTCAACATATCCAGCTCCTTCACCGGCGCAGGCTGGTCCGAAGAGAGGGACTGCGCCATCTGCGTTGAATCCAAGGGGATAGCCAGCTTCCCCGTCCTGTCCGCCAGCCGCGATTGCAACCACGCACCCGGAGCCTGCCTGGCCTGTCTGCAGCAGCACATCAAGATCGCCATCGACGAGAAAGCGTGGCATGGTCGAGTTGTGACCTGTCCCGAGTGCAACAGCGCGATGACGTACGACGAGGTGCGGCTGCATGCCGACCGGGCGACCTTTGAGACGTACGACGCGCGTGTCCTCAACGATGCCATTGCTCAGCAAGGCGACTGGTTCAGCTGTCCTGGCGCCGGTTGCGGCTCGGGCCAGATGCACGACGCCGCCGACGGCGCCCCCATCGTCACTTGCGTGGGATGCCGCCGCAAGTACTGCTTTCGGCACCATATGCCGTGGCACGAGACGATGAGTTGTGACGAGTATGACCGTTTCCTAGCCGACCCGGATAACTTCCGCAGCACTTTCGAGATTGAGAACGAGCGCGTAGACCGCGAGAGGGAGGCCGAGGAACGTCGT